GAGAAGGAGGAGGCTGGCTCTTTGCTGCAGACCTGGGCGCTTGGCGGCTCCCGCGATGCAAGGTGCCCCGCCGCTCCCGATGCTGCCGCCCACCCGCTGCCCCGGCCTGCTTCTCCAGGCTCCACTGCTGGAAGTCCCGGATCGCCTCTGGGGGAAGGCTGGGTGAGAAGCTGAGCGAAGCTTCTCCGCGGCCTCCTGGCGCTGCGCAGAGGCTCTCGCAAGACCACGTGTCGGCAGCCAGCGGCCAGGAGCAGCCCCGACTGCGAGACAAGACAGCGCTTAAAGCAGCCGCTGCCGCCGCCGCCACCCCTCCTTTGCCCGGCGGGGCAGTGGCAGTGGCAGCGGCTGCTTTAAGCGCTGCCTTGTCTCGCAGCCGGGGCCGCCGGCCGCTGGCACACACTCCTGCAAGAGCCTCTGCGTAGTGCCGGGAGGCCGCGGAGAAGCTTCGCTCCGCTTCTCACACAGCCTTCCCCCAGAGGCGATCTGGGACTTCTAGCGGCAGAGTTTGGAAAAGCAGCGGCCGCAGGCCGGGGCAGCGGGTGGGCGGCGGCATCGGGGGCAGCAGGGCACTTTACATCGCGGGAGCCGCCAAGCGCCTTTGCTGCAGACCCGGGCGCTTGGCTGCTCCCGCGATGCAAATTCTCCCCCCCCCCGGCCGAGGCCGACCGCTACCCTGCTTCGCTGCTTTGCAAAAGGATGCCCAGCTGAGCCTCACCAGGTATAAACCTCACAGCACGTCACTGGAGTACAGGAATGATCTAGCAACTGTCCATCTACACTCCCCCCATCCCCAAATTCTGCACTACAGGATAGCCTCAGGCCTTGGGCTTGTTTCCTACCCTGCTGGGTCTCATGCTCTTCTCCCCATCCACCCCCATCATGGCTCAGTCCACTTACTTTTTCCATAGATCTTCAGGAAGCAGTTGATCTGCCTCTGGATACAGTACAGAGGCCGCATGGCACTATCTTAGAAACAGGTGCCATTTGGGGAATGAATTGTGGCCACTCTAAAATAGTGCCCACTCTGAGATTTCGCTACATCCTCTCCATAAAAACAGCAATGTATGAACTGGGGCACTAGGCCTCCCAGGAACTCTCACAAGGCACCCCATGCTCCACTGAATAATATTTGCTCCTCGAGAATAATGTTGATCTGAGGAGTAATTAAATTTACATGTAGATGGATCCAAATTGACTCGTTGTTGGTGGTGCTTTTTAGTTTTGAGCAACATACCAAACATTCCTGCCTCCTGTTTAAATCCGGATAGACGAGAAGTCCTCAGGCAAGAAAGTTGCACTGAATCCTTGGAAGACCTGCTTCTTGCCCAAGATAGTTATATTTTAGTTTGAAGAGAAATATGTCTTCAATATTCAGTTCCGATGATAAGCTTTTCCTTGAGTTTAGAAAGGAGTGCACTGAGATTCTATTGCCTAGTTAATTTTCTTGGAACTCTGGGTATTTGCATATAAGGACTTTTTTTTTACTATATGTGCCAGTCTTAATGATTAGGCCATATTATTTGCTATATCACTAAGCAAGCCATTAGTGGATAGTAGGAAAGCAGTGAATTTTCACTACCCTTATTTTAATCCCCTGATTTCCTAATGGAGTCCGTTTCTCTTAGATTACCACTGGGAAGTAGCTCTGCTATTCTTTTGCTATGTATTTTGTAATATCATATGGTTCACCTTAGATTGCAAAGAATGGGCTAATGTTTCCCTCTCCTGGCAAAAAGGTCTCCTCAAAAAAAATCAGGAGGCAAACGTAGTTAGTGAAGACTGGCAGGAGAGGAGCTGCCAAGTCTCGCGAGCTCCCTCTACAAAAGGAAGCTGACTCCATTAGTTTCCTCTTCAACTTTCTGTGTGGCTCTTTTTGAAGCTATCTAAGCAACGGAAAGCCTACTATAGGTTGATCACACTTTTTTTTTTAAAGATTTGTATAGTTACCTATCTTAAACAACTTTTCTAATTCTGTGAGACTTATGACTTCCAAATCCTGAAAATCATTTAACAAAATAAATCAGACCATTTTCACTGTTCTTATCTAAGAAATTGGTAAGCAATTCACCAGATTTGGGAGAAAACAAAGTAGAGAGAAAACTTGTATCTCTTCAGAGTTACCTGCTGAGATTTGAAGCATTTTCATTCTTTTTTTTTTGGGGGGGGGATGTAATGGGTGAGAAGTTTCCCTGATTTAGATAACTGGTTTCCAGTCTAGAATTTGGGTCTTGTTAAAGTTCAGATTAAGACAATGAATGCAAACCTCTTCTTGTTTGATTTCTAGGATACTGAATACTACTATGTTTGAAAGCTGGGAACTAATTGGCCCCTACCCATCCTGGTGGTTGTTCAATGGCCTTCTCTTAACAATACAAGTATTACATATCAAATGGTCCTACTTCATCATTCGCATTGCCTACAAAGCTATGGCACGAGGAAAGGTATGCATGACTAATTTCATTACCACAAAAATGAATATGGCTTTCATTTTCTTCACAATGTCTTTTGAGTCGATCACTCTGAAGAAAGAGGGTTGCCACCTCACTGAAGGTTGCCATCCTAAATTATACTATAATGCATACATTAGTTACATTCTGTATTGTAATACTCAGCAAAGGTTATTTCAGACAAACATGACTCTAGTAAATACTAAGGTTCATTAATATTGTTTTCTTGACAACACAATGGAAATGGTCTGCCACAACTTTCTTCCATATTTTTTTTCAACTTCGCATATTAATCTTCAGCATTGATATTTCCTGACAGTATTTCATCCACGTGTAAACAAGGTTCAACTTGTAGGGCTTGTACATTTATTTGTTTTTGAGATCATCAAGGTCAGCTAGATTGTGTCATCTAGACTACTTTGCAAGTCAGATCAGTTTTTCATGCCTTTTAGTCATGTATGTGGGACCCAAGTTGAGTTTATTAAAAATACCTGGTTTTCACAGTACTTTATTGTACTAGGAAAGGAAATGGGGGCAGGAAAGGTAGACATAAGTAGTTGCAAGGGTATGATCATGGGGAAGGATTCCTCATTGATTAATGTATTATGAAATATAAATAACATATAAAATGTATAGACACTTGCTTATGAAACCATTACAGTCTGGAAATATTGAGTAATTCTGTTTTTTAAAATAATCTGGAATTGAATCAGCTGTCCTCCAAACATTGTGTAAAAGAATAATAACTGGTGATATTTTATTCATATTCTGGGCCAAGCCCACCAGATGCAGGCTATGGCTAACTTCATATGAAGGGGGATGAGACTCCTTCAGCTATCCCTGAACTCCTTGCTGCATTCTCTCTGTTTCATTTTTGGAAATGCAATCCTAGTGCTCACTCCTTGGACAGGGAGATGCCACTTCTCCTTGCGTGCTTAGAGGTCTGTGTAAAGTTGAGTTAATATAAGGCAAGCTTATGTAATTAGAGTACCTGATGTTTTCTGTAGCATCAATTATCTAGAAAGAACAAGTTGCGCTGATAGAAAGAGTTACAAACCTATGCTGGGTTATGCGAGTCACTGAAGCTATGTCTTTTGCTTGGAAACAATGTTTATTGATTCCCTTTTCCCCTTTGGATTCTTACATATTTTCAAACCAAGCTTTTAAAATAATGATTGTGAAAAACAAGCTCCAAAGCGTCAAATACTGTGAAATTACAAACTATACATGGGACATCATGTAGAGCCGTGGTGGTGAAATTGTTAGAATGCAGTACTGCAGGCTAACTCACCACTCACTCTGAGAGTTCGATTCTCAAGGTCCTTCCGAGGTGAGTAAAATGAGGACCCAGATTGTTGGGGGAAATATGCTGACTCTGTAAACAGCATAGAGAGGGCTGTAAAGCAATGTGAAGCAGTATATAAATCTAAGTGCTATTGCTATCATGCCAAACAGCTACCACGATCAAATTTTAAAAAAATGAAGATTACATGGCAAAAATGTTTAAATTCAGATTTTATACTATCAGGGGAGGGAGGGGACTCTCACTGAAAAGTCACAATGCATGCTTATCTTGTGTGAAATTTTTGCTTTTATATAAAAAGAATTCTTCCAGATTAATTATTCTCTTTCATGCTTCTAATTATTAAAAAAATGAAGAGATTTAGAGTTAATCTGAAAACTTCATCTACTTGCTGATGAGACAAGGACCATAACTGCTAATGTACAAGAAAAAGAAAATATTTTTTGAAAGCTTTTATGAGAAGAGAGAAATATTATCTCCATAATAATAAACACAGTGCAGTTTATTGAAGCATTATGTAAGAATCGCCTATGTAAAAACTACATTTCTCATTTCAAGATAATCTCTCAGGAATTTGTGCCATGAGAATACCTAAATCACACTTAGTTTACGTCTGAATACAAGAGGGAAATAAAGCTTCTGATAAACAAACCAAAACATCTTGCTACTGAACCCTCCTTCCCTTTGTATAGTGACTATTTCAGGACTGTGTCTGCAGTGGTGCTGTTAAAAATGAGATTCTTTACATCTGCAACCTGTAAAATTGCTTGCTTTGGTTACAGCTCCTTGAGACAGTAGTTTTACTTCTTTTTTCCTGAGATAAATAAGTGAGAGCAGAGACAATGGGGTTTTATACATTAAATCTCCTGATACAGTAGAGAGGTGGTTTAGCTAAACACGGCATTAAAAAAAAGCTTTAAGCATCTGATGTAATGTAGGACAGGGCTTATTTGTAATGTGGGAAAGGGATTGTACAATTTACAATCATTGAATTCATCATTTAATACAGGAATCTAAATGACTTATGATTAGAGTGTTGGACTATAGTCTCAGAAACCAATATTTTTACAAATACATTTATGTTTGGATGATTTTTCTGTATTGTGTATTCAAATTATCTTTATTTTTTGTTTGTATCTTCCTATTTTGCTTTCTCTAATTTTATTTCATAGTTACTAATTTAAAAGTGTATGTGTGTATTTTTGCTGAATGGCTACAAATAATTTCCAAGTTGGGGGGGTTCTCTTTGGTTTTCTCTCCTGATCAGGTTCCTAGTCAGGAGTGGACTCTTCTCTGTAATCTCCATCCTCTTTCATTCCTTTTCTCTGTACCAGACTGAAGCTGTCTCTCTTCTTTTTTATGTAAGTGCCATCTCTGCTACAGTTGTAGGGAAATGGGGAGGGCTACCTTCCCCCTCCACTTCTGGGCTTTAAATGCTATCATCAGAAATTAAATCTCAGAGCTGCCTAATGTCAAGTGGAAACTGCTTCACACATCTCTTTTAAATTGTTATTATTCTGAAAGCCGCGTGAAGGAAAATCAAAGCTTAAACTAGAAAGTTATAATCTTCAGTATTATTCACCTCTGTAACTATTTGTTGTATTGATTTTAAAGTTATTTTTATTTAATAAATCTTTTTTTTTTAAGAAAAAAAGTAATTAGGAAGGCCAGGCACAGTAAAATGTTAAAATATTTTATTTTAGATCAGATAAGCTTTATGATGAAAAACTATAATGTGCAAAATATAAAATCCTAGTCATCTCATTGCTTCTCAAAATAATACTTTTGTTCATCTTGGGAAGATGAGATTTTATCTAACAGGTTGTATAGGGCCCACAATTCCAGGTCTCCTCCTGATGATATAAGAAGGTGTGGGAACTATCATAATGCCCTCAGCACATTGGACCAAGGGAACATGGCATTTAAAAGTTAAAATTGGGACAGCTTGTAATTGGAATTGGCACAGAAATCCAGAATATAAATGCTTTAAAGCATTTTCCAATAGCTTTCTTACAGTTGCTTCAGGAAAACAATACTCATAAATTAACAATCGATCACAGTCCATTTTTTTCTATTTTCTCTTGTGCAAAAAATGTCAGGCAAGAGCAGGATATTTACAGCTCAAGTAGGTCTCTCCAATTGGCCTAAACAATCATTAACTTGCCACTGGTAGGGCCTTATTCTGATTTTTATGTGCCTTGCTTAGGCTGTTCAAAGTGCATACACCTGGCTAACAGTAATCCGGGGTGAGGCTAGTCTGAACATATCCTACCCTTCTTAGCCTTGCTAAATCAGAGGTATACCTGCCCTTGGCAAGTGTTCAAATGATAATATAAAATCATTGTTGGCTCTTTAGGATTTTAGCAGTTCAGCCTTGCTTATTAATCTCAATTAATGATTTTCCTTTTCTTTCAGCAGTGATATATTGCCACCTTGTGGCAAACCAACTGCTAAAACTATGAGGTTTATGGAATTCTGCTTTCTTTCCCTCTTTCAGTGCAATATAATCACTTTTGAATTACTATACTGGGAAACATTGCTATATTTAGATCATTTTTAGTTATTTGGAATGCAAAGCCTATTTCCTCCAACATTTGATACAACTGACATTATAATTTTATTAGCAGGTTACATTTTCTTACATCATATGGCACCATTTACAATAAGGACTATCAAATTCATTCATAAAAGATGATATTCAGGAAAATAAATGGCATGCATAATGTTTCTATTTTATTCAGGTTGTTTCCATTTCAGTTAAATGTCTCTCTTGGTCTCTTTATTGTGTTTATCTTTATTATATCAAAATATTGGTGTCTTATAGTTTATCTTAACTGTCTCAGTTATTCACATTTTTGCAATTTCTTTGAGATAAAGTAATTATCAAAGTGATATTATAGTGAGAATTAGAAGAAGAGACAACTTCTTCATCACCAGGGTCAGCCAGGAGCTGATCATGCTAAATATATCCTATCATGTAAATTATTTTCAGATTTGTGAATTTGATAGCTGTGAATTTATTGCAGAATATTTCTGTTCAGCTTTAAATTACCATATTTTTGGAGTATAAGACACACCTTTCCCCCCCTAAAAGAATGTGGAAATATTGGTGCATCTTATACATAGAATACAGCCATTTTTGGCTTCCCGAAGCCCTACCCCCGCATCCCATTTTTGTGAAAAACTGACTTTTTTTTTTTTTTTGCAAAAACAGAGACTTTTTTTGCCTTCTCTCAGCCCCTAGCAGCACTCTGCAGGCTTCATTCAGCAGGGCTAGGACAAGGCAAAAATGCCCCAATTTTTGTGAAAAACAGGCCACTTTTCACAAAAACAGAGGCTTTTTTGCCTTCTCTCAGCCTCCAGCAGCGCACTGCAGGTTTCAGGACTGGGACAAGGCAAAAATGCTCCCATTTTTGTGAAAAACGGGCCTGAAAAATACGGTAGTATTTATAGTCTGAAAAATACAGTAAATTTGGTGGATATGTTGAGTTCTTTTTCCTTTCCCAATTTAATGCATGTTGATTCTGAACTGATCATGTATACCTAATAAAAAATTATACTCCTGGGTATTCTGATAATACAAACATGATAAGAACAGAAATACTATCAGATATTTTTCTGTAGTTCTAGGCTGTCATTAACAAATTCTTCAACAGTTATTTATTATTCTACAGCTTCTTGCTTTTTTTGTATTTCAAGCTGAGATATGTTCTCTGTTTCAGGCCAGTCTTTTCTCATTTGCTTTGTATCTGATTATTTTATGGCAACATTGCTCTGCGGTTCCCATTATTCTTTCATTGACTCTTGCTTAATATAAAAATGGGAAAAGATAAAAGTGTCAGGAGATGGGCTATTTTTTCCATAACTTTGTTTGAATACCCTACGGTGAAAGAGATGAGTTCAACTCAGAATAATGGTTAGAAATTACCTATCTTCTCTTATGATACTGCTTTTTTTCAAGATAAATTCTGGAGTATCCTCTCTTTCATCTGAAATGTTTTGTCGGGCAGGTTATGGAACACTGTATCTTAGGCAAATCAATCTGACGCCTTTAATTTTAGTATCAGCTATTTTAAAGATACTTTAAATATACTTAAGAACATTAAATCTATTTATTTTTAAGGCTAATTTTTAGTAGTAGTACATTTATTACTAGTATATTAACATTTTGATTGTTAGCTATAATTAATACTATCTGCTCTGTTCACTATAATAGAATGATCTAAACTAGCATGTACCTCTATGATTCTGCCTCCCTCAAAAAAAATTTCATTTTTTGGGCAAACCTTGCTCTCAAAGAAAGCTTATTTCTGAGGACGTCTAGCTTCCTGGTGCTGTTGGTTTTTTTAAAAGTTCTTTAGTTCCATAATTAAATGTCTAAACCATACCATTTAAAGAACGTATCTACTGTATATGAGCTTGTTTTAGCTATTTTTTAAAAGTCCTTATTTGTGGTATATTTCTGCTTCTTTTTATCAGGTATCAAAAGATGAGCGCAGCGATGTGGAGAGCAGCTCTGAAGATGATGGTGGGACATCAAACAACAGAAAAGGAATTATTAACACTTCAAGCAATGATCACAATCGGATCAATGGCCATGTAACTAGTGACCAGTGGGCAGAAGAATAAAAACAGGGGACAGCTGCTCCACAATCCAAAGATTTGAACTCAATTATCTAGAAATGCCCAGTTACAAGAAATTTTTAATCAACTGTCTCACCACTCCCAAACCCTCCAATGAATCTGAAACAGGACAACACAGGCAGTTTTGCACAGGATGAAGAAGCTGTTTACTAGTGCAAAACCTTTTTCAACTTTAATGTTTAAAAGAATAAGCCATTTTGTATTTAATGTTTGTTGAAATATGTAAGAGGAGAAAAAGTAGGCTTCAGGTGGGGTTTTTGGGGGGAGTTAAGCTTGATCATCAACAGATTCTTTGTTTTATGATATTCCAGAATTTTTGGACAACGATCTATCAATCCATATTTCTTCTAGGATCTACTGGGCTACACCTAAACAACCTGGGGATTGTGGTACAGATAGAGTGAACGGTTTACTTATTAGAGCATGGCATATCAATGACCAATATTTTTTTCCTCATGTCATCTTACTGAGTGATAAGAAAGATGAAGCTGACATTTATTTTCCTTGAGTGGTACAGCATTTCCAAAGTCTTCATTGTGATTTCTTACACAATCCTGCTTTTCGTACCAATTCTGGATTTGAGTTCATTTAAAAATTACAAAACGAGTAGTTTTCGGCAATAGTATTATAGATAGGGATGACCAGTGTTTGTTGGTGATTGTCCCATAAAGCTAAGTTGCAAACGTTCCCATGTTTTCAGAAAAGTGATACCCTGGATGAACCTCAATCTTGTATGATACTGCTGGGATGCAATGGCTATCTCACAGGGACTGGATGGGTCTCCTGCCCCCACTTGCCTTTTATTCAATGGTACTTCAAAGAAGATGGAAGATGGGGAAGTGTTGATAGGACTTGGGCTTTGGAAATCCCCTGAATTATCATTTTATATTATTGTTTACTCTGTGATTAAAAAATCCTTGATGAATAGGATCTATGGATTTTGTTTTATTGAAAAAGGTAATTTTCACTGTGGTCTTGACAACATTGCTTGCTGTTGTTAAGATTCAGTGACGAAAAAGAACTTACTTTGACTTTGAAAAACAAATAGCTCATGTTTGTGTCTCAGTAGGTATGATTGCTGATCTAAACCTAAGCATGATCTTCTGCTGCTGTGGATGATGATCCTATATTGGCTCTCGGACTGTTTAAATATAATTTTCTTCATTACTTTTTATTTTTATTCTGGTGCAATGGAAATGGATAGCAAACCCATTTGCATGCTAGGTAGCACAATAGATTTAAAGGACTGATGGAATAGAAGGATCCAGCTATAATCAACTGAAGAATGGTCAGGGAATAAATCATCCAAGAAATTCACATCTTTCAAGAGCTACTTAAGCTATTCCCTATGCCAGAAGAAACAACTTGTTTGAGATGTGAGATACAGACATTGTTTTAAAATTGGGACAGGAAGTGGGTAAGAATGAAAACCTTACTCTGGTCTAATGATTCTATTTGAGGGGCGGGCGGGTTTAAGGCCAGAAAGAAATAATGTAAATTATCTGTAAATAAATCTTTAATGTGGTTGCTTAACAATTTCTACTGTAGGATTGAGAGAAACTGAGCGAAGAATCAAATGACTAGAATCAAACAGATACTTCCACTTTTTCAACACAATTTGAAATTCCCATTCTTCACGGCAGAAAATCCCAGAGGTTTCTGATAAAGCACACCAGCCTTCCATTCCATATGAGATGTTGAGTGTTCATTGCTTAGCATCATCAGCATTTATCCCTTGTTCCTTCAGTCGCTTATTTCTCTGATATGCTTGATATACACCATTACTCAGGAGGTAGCCACCATATAGAGTAAGAAGCATCATGGAGCTCGAAAATGTTTTGTAGCCAAGGTCAGCCAGCTGCTTTGCAGAAATCATTTTTACTGGGAGGGAAAAGCGAAGAAAAATCATAATTAGGGCACCTCCCTCTGGATTATAGGGATGCTAGGACAAAAGACTTCTCACCAAAGACAGTTAAGAAAAGATAGTTAACATTTTTGCCTTTTAAGGCCACGTGATATTGACTGGTGGGTCAGGAGGCCTAATAGATGCACAGGACGGTGGAGGACGGAGCTGGAAAGCAGGATAGTGAAGGGATGTGGCTGCCTTGGGAGGGGTGTGTGTGTGTGTGTGTTTGAGGGGGGGGGGCACGGAAAGAACATTGCTGGCAGCTCTGGATAACTCCTGGAGGTTGGATCGGATTTCTCTCTCTCTCTCACACACACACACACACAGTTCTTTCTTTGGGACCACAGCACAGACACTCCTCCCTTCAGATTGCAAGGCTGAATGCTTCAGATGGAACATTTTGGGGCTGTGTGTTTGTGCTGCCATCCCAAGTAAAGAATGATTGGCAGGAAAAGGGGAAGGAGGCCAGCAGCTGGGGAGGTGCTCTGGCGATCTGGACCAAGTTGCACAGTCCTTACTTCATAAGCAGGCAGCAATTAAGGGGCTAAACCTCCATGAGGTGATCCTAGCAATTTTAGACTGGGGACCACAGAAGCAAGAGTTGTAAAGAGTAACTTTCACAATTTTATTTGTTTGGACTGTCTAATAATCATACTAATATCAATTTAGTCTAACCAGATTCCTTAGCAGAAAGTCAACCTGGTGACCCTGGGCCAGTCACACACTCTGAACCCTAGATCATTTATCTCCAGTCTACCACAGAGTCCTTTCAACAGTCCCAAGAAGGCTCCACATTCATTGGCACCAGTGACCCCGAGGACACAGATAAACCTCCAGGTGGCCACAAGGACTCTCAAGGATGCAAATGAGGAGCTGTCTGCAAGGAGTATAAATCTTTCCATTCCCCACCACCATCCAGTCAGAACTGTGGAAGATTCTCGGATGCGAAGCGAAACGTCTTCAAAGTAAAACCAGAAAGTCGAGTTGCCTCTTGGAAAATTAAAATAAAGCACCTTTGGGACGTATAGGAGGAAGGAGACACGAGCAAGTCGCTTCCAAAAGCTTGACACCCCACCCTACCCCCAATTATAATCTTGAGGGGCTTTTCTGTATGGTCACCAAGACTGACTCAAAGGCGCAGCCCTCCGCGCCCCCCCCCCTCAATAAAGCCTAACGGGGCTTTCTGACCGCACGGATCAGAAGCGCCTCTTCCCTCCCCACCCAGCTCCCACCGTCACGAGGATTAACTCCGGCAGGGGTTTCCCCCACGTCTCGTGACGCCCAGGCTGCGACCGCGAGCATCTTACAATCTTCTCGGCCGGGGGCTCCGGGTGATATTTGTATCAGGCTTTCACTCCACCCTCCGTTATAGCCCGCCAGTCCCAAACATACCCGCAAAGCTTTTCTGCCGCCGCTTGGCTTTCTTTGCGACTTTGCAACGCCAGGCTTCTTGCACTTCCGAGTTCAACGCGGCTGCGGAGTAAGTCTCGCTCGGCTATCTCGATCAAAGGGCTTTTCCGATCAGGAGGACCGCCGTGGTTTGCATAGACGTAGGAAAAAGTGGAGATCTCCCCATCTACCTTGTCTGCCAACGGAAAAACGTCTGAGAAACGACCGTTCGCTCGTTCTCCTTTTCCTCCAGCCTTCCTCCGGAACAGGATCGTGAAACGATGCTTCTAAAATTTAGAATCTTAAATGGACCTGGGTTTATTTTGAATCAGAATAGAGCTGGAAGGGACTTTGGGAGGTCTTCTAGTTCAACCCCTTGCTCAAGCAGGAGATCCTATGCCAGATGGCTGTCCAGTCTTTTCTTAAACACCCCCACCCACAGTGAATTAAAAGTTGGAGTTTTAGAAACAATTGATTCTCTGGTGACCCTCCAGTGTTCAATGTCCCCCTCCTGCCCCCATGAAATTTGGGGAACGCTGACCTGGGGTTTGATTCCCTCCCCCTTCTCTTCTGAGACCCCCGTCTGTGGGGTGGAAGAGCCACTGGCCCATTGGGTCTCCCTCTGCCGCCCCCTCCTTTCATAACCCCCCCTTCTCCCTCTCCCCCATCCCCCCGCCCTCTCGTGCAAACTCAAAGACAGCAACCAAGAAGGGATTGCTTAGGAATTACTTGAGGAAATGCTTTTTTAAAAAAAATTAAAGCAGCCTACTAGGCAATGCTTTTCTCGAATTAGACGCTGAAGCCGCTGCAATGTACAAAGGCCTCAAACGAAAGCAGCCTTTTTGACTTCCTCGGCCCAACCTCGTGTTCCACGCCCAGAACGTGAAAATCGGTCGTCCGTGCCGAATTGCACACACTCGTGTGTCTTATGTGCTTTACAACATTAATTTACGTGCCATCGGAGTCCTTTTTCCTGACGACCGCATAGATTTTCTCCATGATTGCCATTTTAAAGTGGCGGTTTATTATGTATTAATCTGTAATACATTTTAACCAGGAGGCAAGATACGATGCTACTCGATGCATTATTTATACTTTTTCATTTATTAGATTCCTTTGCGAAGCCACTCTGGACGGCTTGCAGCATTAAAAGCGTTTTTTCTAGTCAGCCTCCCCAGGGATCCACATCTATAAGGCACGGCTTCTAAAGGCGATAATATATTGTAATCCATGGTTGAGTCTTAATGCTATAACTCTATATGCGCCGGTGTCTTTTCACGAGGCTTGTCATTAGGGTGTACCGATGCTGTGGTGCATACTGGGGCTTGTAGTTTTTAATGAGTTTACCAGCCCTCAGGATCTCCGATTCCATGGGGGTGGGGATGTGTTAAAATAGGGATACTGTGCCTGAGGCGCAAAATACAGACAGATCACGAGCTGGTAATAGATTTGTTCCTATAACCAATATTTGTCCCTTATTGGTATTGCAGGAAGTTATCACCCAGCCCTTTCCCAGAAAAATGAAATATCCTAGGAAATATTGAAAAGGCAGAATATTTCTCTGGATGTAAAAAGAAAGAAACATGTTTTAAAAGACAGAATAGCTGCCTGTAGCTTCCTGCCCATCCCCACTTTATCAATGGGCCATTAAGAAGGCCAAGCTAGTCTCTTTACATAATAAAGACTTCTCCACTGCAGCTCCAGGGGGATGGGAGTAAAAGCATGATAATATTGGCCCTTTACTCAACAACTTACTCAACTGACCACATGGCATCTGAGAACTCAACCAAACCTGGATTCAAAACACAGCCTAGAGAGTAGCCCCTGCATGGACCCATGGGAGTCTGACAACCAATCAGAATACATTTCTTACACAGGAACAGGAAACAGAGGTGGGACTGAACAGGTTATAAAAAGCCTAACAAGCCCCTCCCTCAGCCCATCTCTTCTTCTCATCTCCACCAACATTGAAGCATGTGATCACCGTGGTCCTGTCCACCAATAAACCATCTTTCCAAGCAGCCTCCATGTCTCCAGTGTCTTTTTCCCCACTTGGAGCCGAACCCAGAAGGACATTTCTTTCATCAGTATCTCGCGGTCCGCTCACCCCCCCAATATAAATAGCCCTAGTTAAGCGCAGCAATACCGCTGGAGTGACCTAGCGTTTTACACCCAAGTAGAAACGGAGGGAACACAGGGAAGTTATTCTTTTAGGACCACAAGTTAGGAAGTCCAAAACGAAAAAGGAACACTTACTGAAAGTGTTATGTTCGGGTGAGAATGGAAGCTGAGTCAGAGTGATTTCAGCAAAGCTCTCTCTTTATTAGTTCATCCGAACAACAGCAAACTCAATTATAGATACAAACTCAGGGTAAACCGCACCAAATTCTATTGCAGAAAATACGACTTCAGCAACAGAGCGGTCAATGCCTGGAGTGATTTTTAGTGATTTTAGTGATTTTATTAATATTTATAGGCCGCCCTTTTCCCTGAGGGGACTCAGGGCGGCTTACATAAAATAAGGAAGGGAGGGTACAAGACAATAAACGCAGAACAATACATAAAAGTAAAATAGTACACAACATTCATTCAGCATTCGGGTGGGGACAGATTATCTTTATCCCCAGGCCTGACG